GTGGTTTCCTGTTTAAATTAAAATACATAACTCACATTAACTAGCAGAAAACTCATAACCCCCATACTTATTAGATAGAAAATATACACAATACCCACTAACAAATGCACAGCTGAAATGGTGAGAACAGTACTGTATCAAATTACAAGACCAATCTGTCTACTCCCTTTCCTGGAATAAAGCACACGTGTCTAAACCCCACTCAGTTTATATACTGCTCACCTCAGACATTAGTCACACCCTACGCTCAGGTCAGTGTCTACATCAAAGAAACGAAAGCAGCTTTTATCTGGTAACTGAAAGTGAGATGTCACAGACTTCCCTCAAAAGGACCTTGAGTTCAAATTTCAGTGCATATTTGCATCCGGTAACAGAAAGGAAATCTTTTAGACATTTACAGTCGTGGTGAGGAGACATGGCGCAGCAACTGATTCAGCTGGATCAAGAAAAACTGAGCTGTTCCATCTGTCTGGACCTCCTTAAGGATCCAGTCACTATTCCCTGTGGGCACAACTACTGCATGGACTGTATCAGAAAATGCTGGGATGAGAAGGAAGTACAAAGCTGCCCTCTGTGCGGGCAGATTTTCACACCGAAACCTCACCTGGTGAAAAACAGAATGCTTGCTGATTTAGTGGAAGACGTAAAGAAAGCAGGACTTCCAGCTGCTTCGCATGATCATGCCTATGCTGGACCTGGAGATGTGGCCTGTGATTTCTGTTCTGTGAGGAAGCGGAAAGCCTCCAAGTCCTGCCTGGTGTGTATGGCCTCTTATTGTGAGCAGCACCTTCAGCCTCACTACAACGTAGCTCCAATAAAGAAACACAAACTCATCAAAGCCACTTCAAAGCTGCAGGAGAACATCTGCCCTCGCCATGATGAGGTGATGAAGATCTTCTGCCGCACTGATCAGCAGTGTATCTGTTATCTCTGCTTAATGGATGAACACAAAGACCATGTCACAGTGTCAGCTGCAGCAGAAAGAGCTGCGAGGCAGAAAGGGCTTGGAAGAAATCGACAAAAATTTCTTCAAAGAGTTCAGGACAGAGAGAAAGATGTGAAGATGCTTCATGAAAGAGTGGAGGCTATCAATCTTTCTGCTGATAAAGCGTTAATGCAAACTGAGAAGATGTTCAAAGACTTGATCAGTCTTATTCAGAAAAAAAGCTCTGAGGTGAAGCAGAAGATCAGATCCAAGCAAACATTTGAACAGAACAGAGTCAAAGAGCTTCAGGAGAAAATAGAGCAGGAGATCAGAGATCTGAGGAGGAGAAACACTGAACTGCAGCAGCTCTCACTGACAGAGGATCACCTCCATTTTCTGAAAAACTACTCCTCACTGTCACATCTGAGTGCATCTACAAACGTACCCACCTACAACAATCTTACTCTGCAGTACTTTGAGGATGTGACTGCATCTGTGTCACGGACCAGAGATAAAGTGAAGGCTCTTCTCAGTGATGAATGGCCAAAAATCTCAGTTGGAACGACCAAAGCAGATATTTTACTGCCTCAAGGAGAACCCAAAACCAGAGACGAATTTTTGAAATATTCTTGTCAGATCACTCTCGATCCAAATACAGCACACACACTGTTGTCACTGAGTGACAGCAACAGAAAAGTGACACTGATGAGTAGAAATCAGTCATATCCAAGTCATCCAGACAAATTCCTTGATTGCCGGCAGGTCCTGAGCAGAGAGGGTCTGACTGGACGCTGTTACTGGGAGGTGAAGTGCAACGGGATGGTTGGAGTAGCTGTTGCATACAAGGATATCGGCCGTAGAGGGCCCAGAGAGGAATGTGGATTTGGATTGAATGACAAATCCTGGTCATTAACAGTTTCAGGCAGCGGTTATGACTTCAAACACAACAACATTCCCACTCTCATCCCAGGCCCCCTGTCCTCCAGAATAGGAGTATATTTGGATCACAGGGCAGGAACTCTTTCTTTCTACAGCATCACTGAGACCATGAATCTCCTCCACAGAGTCCAGACCAGGTTCACTCAGCCTCTCCATGTTGGACTGTGGCTTGCAGAAAGTGCTGGACACACTGCTGAGGTGTGTGAGCTCAAGAAGAGAATAAACACAAAATAGTGAACTTTGATGCTCTGCCTTTTGCCGTGTGTTACTTGTTGAAATGTGTTTATCTATCCTGCACCTGTTAAAGATGAATCCTTATGGATATAAGTGTATTCTTTAATTTCTTTGATTGTGTTGTTTTCAATAGGTATTTGGGTAAAATTGTTTATTTCAAACAATATTCATTTAACCACTGTTTGTTGTAACATTAGCAAAAAAAACCCCAAACAAACAAAAAAACCAAATATAAATTCATATAAAAATAACTTCAGTATATTTAAAATTAAAGAAAAAAAGTAATTATGTATCAGATATGTTGGAATCACAGTTATTATATCTTGATGCATGCTCAATCATCCAGGTAAGGAAATCCTAAAAAGCTGATTCTGTTCATCTGGACGTAACGTTTTCAGTAGGAGAAATGCCAATTTGACAATTTGCATATTATTGATAAAGAAACTGACCTCATATACTATTATTCATTCAGTGGGCTAGTTTCAGTTATTGTGAAAATGTACTGTTTATAAGGTCGGGGGAAACTGCAGTCAGCTGAGACTGAAGAAGTCACTTGGATGACTGATGTAATGTTTCTCCCACTGGAAATGTTTAGATGAACAGGATATATTTTTTGGCACTTTTATTATAATTGTTGCTTTTTCTATTTTGTTTTTATTTCTATTCTTAAGTTGGTGGATTGTAAAATGTTTAATTTCAGTTATTTTTTTATGAACCTTTTTTTATTTACTGCTGTTTGTGAAATAAAGTGAGCAATGTACACTAAGCTTTCTTGTTTCAAGAAATAAAATATCACTAACATGATGAATGGAACCTTTTGTTAAGAGACATTTAAAGTAGAGCATTAATGATAAAATTAAAAAAGTAAAATCTTAAAAACTGTCACGGATGCCGGGGCGAGCCATGTGGTGTTGGTGGTGGAAAAGGACCCAAAATGCAGGCAAAAGACTGATGATATGAGTGAATGTTTATTTACAAAGTGGCAAAGTGACAAAATGAGGCAATGAGGCATGAGAAGCTACTGAAGAAACCTAAACTGGGAAAACTAAAGAGCAAACCTGAAATCATAATGAAACGGGGTGAAGGGCAGAGAGACACAGACCAAAGAACAAAACACCATGAAACAGAGACGAGCAGACAAAGAGCACACACACACACACACACACACACGGTTACCAGGCAATGACACACAGATGATCCTAATTCACAAGATGACGGGAGGATACAAGCTGAACACAGTGATAACAGACACAGACCTTTAAAGTAAAACAGGAAATTCATAAAACAAACTCATGGACACGAAGGGGGACGACACAGGAAATAAACCTTAGGACTGGAAACCCTGAGAATGAAACCTACATACTAATAACCAAGAAGAAATTAACATCAAATCAGATAAAATAATAAACATAATGACAAACACAAAACGCTGGGTCAACCACCCAGCACCATGACAAAAACGTACATACTGTAGGTCTACACTAATTTAAGTAGGAGTATAACAGATGAAAAATGTTTTCATAATAAGGCAAAATTAAAAGCAGGAAGTAAACTAGCAAAGTGAAAATAAAAATGAGATATTTCAATATACCCATTATTATTATTTCAAGATATAGTAATTTTGCTGTAGGGGCTTTGGATTGATTGAGGATTTTACACTTATATTTTGGGATTTTCCAAGGTTACTTCATTTCTGGAATGATTTTCAAAAAACAGCTTTTGGGAACTGATGATCATTTAGATCCATTACTCTATACTAGCCATATGTCTGTATGATATACCAGATGGAAACTGATATATTTGTCCAGAATTCTGCTCCATTTTGCTCCATATTGACAATATGGAGAGTTGCCTGCTTAGGTAAGTTAAGGGGTTTAAATAATGCTCAGTTGGTATTACAGGGCCCAAAGTGTGCCAAGAACATAATCACCACACCATTACATCATCAGCAATCTGAGCCATTGATGAAAGGCAGGCTTGAGTCATACTTTCATATTGTTGTATCTATTATCAGTAACTCCCTGCAGGCAGCCAAAGAGTGTGAAACTACAGCACCTGCAAAGCAGATCTTCTTGAGGAGTGATGGCCAGATGAAGACGAATGAAACCTTAGAGCTTTCCAAGTGGTTAGAAAAAAAAAGATCAATTTCTTCAGGCTTTGTGTGTACACAAGCCCTTCTGCTGAAGAATTCTTCCTGTTAAAAGGAAGTTTTTCTTTCCTACTGTCGCCAAAGTGCTCGCTCAAAGGGGGTCTTCTGATTGTTGGGGTTTTCAAGGTTTTCTTGATTTTAAAGTAGGGTCTTGCCTTAAAGAATCTTGAGGCAACTATCGTAGTTTGCCGTTATATAAATAAAAGTGAACTAAGTTTCAAGACCCAGGATCTTGGAGGACTGTATGGCAGCGCATCTCATGTGGATGAAAACTCCATTGCTTCGCTTTTTGTTTTGCTTTTTTGTAAATGAAAAAAAAAAGGTATCCTATATAAAATCTTATTTTTTTGTAAAAATAAAAGTACATCAAACAAAATTATCCAAACATACACGTCATCATAGACATATATTGTGTTATCTTTTTGCATTTTTCTTTTTGTTTCCCGCGGTTAACCCAGTGACAACACAGTTTTTATCATTATTTCTCAACACACAGTATTATTTGAGAATTTCAGAAAAATATAATTTTGATAAATGTTTTAGTTATGAGTCTGAAAGTTAAGTACACATACACATTTACATACATACCTCAGTAATTAAATTATTGGAAAATGATTTTGTAAACAGAAAAAATAAGGTACAAATCATAACATACATAAAGATCTTTGATAGTGTACATACATACATCTTAACAAATACTGTATTGCACAGTTCAATATCTCTTATCTACTTGAAGTCAAACAGCTCAGCAGTGTGTCCAGCACTTTGTGGAAGCCACAGTCCAACATAGAGAGGCTGAGTGAACCTGGTCTGGACTCTGTGGAGGAGATTCATGGTCTCAGTGATGCTGTAGAAAGAAAGAGTTCCTGCCCTGTGATCCAAATATACTCCTATTCTGGAGGATTGAGGGCCTGAGATGGGAGTGGAAATGTTGTTGTGTTTGAATTCACAACCATTGATTGAACATCTTAATGCCCAGGATTTGTCATTCAATCCAAATCCACATTCCTCTCTGGTCCCTGTACGGCCGATATCCTTGTATGCAACAGCTACATAAACTGTCCCATTCCACTTCACCTCCCAGTAACAGCCTCCAGCCAGACACTCTCTGCTCAGGACCTGCAACCTTTGAAGGAATTTGTCTGGATGACTTGGATATGGCTGGTTTCTACTCATCAGTGTCACTTTTCTGTTGCTGTCACTCAGTGATAAACGTTTGTGTGCTGTATTTGGATCTAGAGTGATCTGACAAGAATATTTCAAAAATTCGTCTCTGGTTTTGGGTTCTCCTTGAGGCAGTAAAATATCAGCTTCGGTCGTTCCAACTGAGATTTTTGGCCACCCATCTATCTGCTTTAGTCATTGAGAAAGAAGTTTGGGGCCACCCATCACTGAGAAGAGCCTTCACTTTATTTCTGGTCCGTGACACAGATGCAGTCACATCCTCAAAGTACTGCAGAGTAAGATTGTTGTAGGTGGGTACATTTGTAGATGCACTCAGATGTGACAGTGAGGAGTAGCTTTTCAGAAAATGGAGGTGATCCTCTGTCAGTGAGAGCTGCTGCAGTTCAGTGTCTCTCCTCCTCAGATCTCTGATCTCCTGCTCTATTTTCTCCTGAAGCTCTTTGACTCTGTTCTGTTCAGATTTTTGCTTGGCTTTGATCTGCCGCTTCACCTCAGAGCTTTTTTTCTCAATGAGACTGATCAAATTTTTGAAAGCCTTATCACATTCTCTGAAAGCTTTATCAGCAGAAAGATTCATAGCCTCAACTTGCTCTTGGAGCACCTTCACATCTTTCTCTCTGTTCTGGATTATCTGTTGGACATTTTGCCGATTTGTTTCAAGCCCTTTCTGTTTCTCAGCTCTTTCTGCTACAGCTGACACTGTGACATGGTCTTTGTGTTCATCCATTAAACAAAGATAACAGATACACTGCTGATCAGTGCGGCAGAAGATCTTCATCACCTCATCATGGCGAGGGCAGATGTTCTCCTGAAGCTTGGAAGTGGCTTTGATGAGTTTGTGTTTCTTTAATGGAGCTACGTTGTAGTGAGGCTGGAGGTGCTGCTCACAATAAGAGGCCATACACACCAGGCAGGACTTGGAGGCTTTCAGTTTCCTCTCAGAACAGAAATCACAGGCCACATCTCCAGGTCCAGCAAAGGTATGATCAGATGAAGCTGTTGAATGTTCTGCTTTCTTTAAGTCTCCCACTAACTCACCTAAAATCATGTTCTTCACCAGGACAGGCCTCGGTGTGAAAGTCTGTCTGCACTGAGGACAGCTGTGTGTTTCCTTCTCATCCCAGCAGTTTTTGATACAGTCCATGCAGTAGCTGTGCCCACAGGGAATAGTGACTGGATCCTTAAGGAGGTCCAGACAGATGGAACAGCTCAGTTTTTCTTGATCCAGCTGAATCAGTTGCTGCGCCATTTTGTCCAGTAAAATTAAGTTTCACTTTCAGCTACTAGAGAAAAGCTGCATTCATTGCCTCCTTACACACTAATCTGTGGTGTATGGTCTTTTCAGCGCTTGCATTTGATCACATGGTGTTTAGATTCATATTTTAACTGGCTGAGGAGTAGAAGGGGAGGGAATAAACGGACTTTGTACCACTATGAGACACGCAGTCAAGCCAGCCCCCACCTTAGTTTGCATTACGTGTGTGTGCTACACATTACGGTACAACCTAGACCTTAATTCAAAATAAAAGCGATCTAGTTGTGAATGTAATTTTAACATTAACCAACTGAGTCGGTGATCAATGATATAATATACCATGAGATAAATATCAATACAGAAATAAATATTAAATACAAATTAAAAATTGCCAAAGGCAGAAATATTCAAGTATGACATACTTATGCATAACCACATTTAGAAATTACAATTTCAAAAGAAGTGTACAGCCATTGGAAGTAAATTCAGTTTCCACAGAGTAATTTTGACACCATTACTCAGGCAGTATAGGGTAAGTAAGTGACTCTGATTTTGGATATCAGCGTTTTGACATCACTTTATACAAACCATTTTTTCCCCTCTCAAATCACCTGTACATATCTTTAAGTCTTAATTTTCTAATTTGGTTAAGCGATTTTACGTATGTGGGTTTGCCATATTTGACTATTTTTGTCATTTAAAAGTTATTTTTCCTTTCTATATTGGTATGCTTTTTTATTCCATTATTTATTATATTGTCAATGGCAGACTAAAATATTAGGGTAACGTTAAAAATCACGTTCCATTGAAGATCGCGTTTATTTTGAAATCGGTTCTCGGTTTCCCTTACCGTAATACGTAGTATGGACACATACGCAAAACAAAAGGTGGAGCTGTCCAGTAAACTTCAGGAAGTGAGGTGACGATGTCTTAAACCCTGTTTGATATACCTGAGTACCCAAACTGGAAACCAGTGTTCCCCGTAAAAGGCACCAATAACAGCACAAAAATGGCCAAGGAATGGTCTAGAAATATCTGGGATCGATTTCCTAGAGAAAAATAAAAGTATGGGTTAAATAAGCATCCCGGAAGCCACGTTTTCATGTGCATCGTCTATTTTCTTCCGCCACAGATCCGACCACTCGTTCCTATGAGTCCAGCAGCATCTCTTCACGGCTCAAAATGTCGTGAGAGCGTTTCATAATCGTGTTTGGCTCGTTACATTTCAAAAACATGAGGGGGATTTTAAATAAGCTTCAATTACGGTTTGTCTTATTGTTTTTGCTGCATCATGAGGATGTTTTCAAGTTTTCGTCTGGTCAAGGTAAGAGACTGACAGCTGCAGCTAGCGTCAATGCTAACAGTACAAACCTTTATCTAATATAATGTTTGTATTTAGGTTGATCATTAACAGTAACACAGGATATTCTCTCTGTGTAATATTCTATTAGTCAGTTAGTCCTTCAAAGGGATTTAGATGACTGAAATAATGTGAGAGACGCTGTTTATTCTAATCAGATGCCTATGAATCCGAAACAATTACGTGTCATAAATGTGCAAAAAAACATGAAATCGGGAAATTAACAAATACTTTTCACAGGAGTGTAACTGTCAGCTTATGGCAAGAAATATGATTGTCTTCAGATAAACTTCTGCAGTGATTCACTATTAAAAGTCAGATGGAATGGAAAACAATTACAAATATCTTATTTGTACTGAGTTTATTTATTTATTTATTTTGTCCCTTAGAGTATGACGACTCACTGGAGCTCATTTTGTCAGAGGACACTTTGTCCGACTTGGAGAACAGCCCCAAGTTTGTAGAGTCCGGAGACATGGACTCTCTGCCGAAGAGGCAGTTCAAGACGGCTGAGATCGCAGATGCTGTGATGGGCACTGAAACTCCCATCGATCCATCTGACATCGAGTCTCTCTTCCCCAAAAATGTGAAAGACTTTCAGTCAGGCTTCTCCCCGCCCTGTGATGACAGCAGTGCCCAGTGTAGTTCACCGGCTCCAGCTGAGAATGGCGCATCACAGGAGGAGGATGCTGAATCATCACAGCAGGTTAGTAAGATGAAACTGTGAGACATAAAAAGGAACTGCTGTTAGACTGCAGCCTTAAAGGGGTACCACCTCAGTGACTGACATCTAAATTGATATATAAATTCCAAAAGAAACCTAAAATATAAAGGTAATCACAAATTAGTAAATGATTTATCATTAAGGTAAAATTTGCACTTGTGAAGATTTGCAGATTTGTCTTCTAAGATGATTAAGTGAGACAATGGTTCGCAAATGTCTTCCTGGACAAATTTACTTTAAGATATTAACACTGGTTGTTATAAACCAACTGACTTAAACCGCTGTGGGATCAATAAAGTCTTCTCCTATCTTAAAAATGAATTGATAAAAAAAAAATTAATAACAAGGTTAATTTATTTTCATCCTCAGCTTAGCTTTTATGTTTTGACGTATGCTTGATAAAGTCTCAGTGAAGATTAGCTCAAATATGCATAGCTATAAATGCTATTTTGCTGAAGCTAACTTCTCCTTGAATGTTTCCCTGCAGCTCACGCTTGACATTGTGCGTGCGGAGGTCATAACGGTTGAGGAGCACAACACCACGGAGACCGCCAAGACGTACAAAGTCAACTGTGATAAACGGAACATCACAGGAATGGAGAACTTCACTGTGCAGGTCCTCAATGCCTCACAGGTACTCACTCCATCCTCTGAGGCACATGTTTACACTGCGTAAAGTGTGTAAAAAGTGTGCCACCAATTTCCCAAACATTTACACCAGCTACCATATACAAGATTCATTTATCAACTTTTCTAATGCATCTATTTATATCTTTTTTTGTGTGTATAAACCTTTTTGTAAATCAGTTTTGTTTTATTTCATCATAGCATGACTCATTGTTTGTATCGTGAACATTGTTGTTTGTTGCACCTTTCATTTTTGAGTGAATTTACCAGAATCCAGGTTCTGTTTGTATCCCTCTTATAAAATTCCATGCAGGAGAATTTCCTGTTTCTCTCCTGGATAAAAAAAACTAAACCCATCCCTTCTTTTCTTTCAGGACCTAATGGAGTTCCTCAATGCTAACAGCACAGAGTGCTCTGTGGTGCTGTTCTTCACCGCCTGGTGCCAGTTCTCAGCCAACCTGGCACCTCACTTCAACGCCCTTCCCCGGGTTTTTCCCAACATGAATTTCTTGGCACTGGATGCCTCACAGCACAGCAGGTAAATGATCACCTTTGTTCTGGTTTTAACTGTGTAATCTCACTGTGAAAACCCCTCTTAGAATACTTTTTAAAGCTGTTGTCGTCTGTGGCTCACCACACCTTAGCATCTATATAGAAGCAGAATATAGCTCATGTTTATTAGCGAACAGTTAATTGGATAATTAGAGTAGTTGATAAAAGTTCTTTTGTGTTGAAAATGATAAAAATACAAATGTAGAATAAAGTCTTTTTTGTGACTTTGGTTTTATAATCACATTTGAGGCAAAGTAAGTAAACCAGAATTTTGAAAAGCTGAAAATCATTTTTTTGCAACAAATGTTTGGACCTATTTTGTGTAAACATCCAAGAATTGATTGATTATGTTCTTATAAAGGGTGCTTATAATAATCTGTATCCCTGTACGTTATACATGACATTGTGTAAGTATAATGTACACAGAGGGTTGGTGTGACAGAGGAGAATACTTGGTACAGGATTAGATGGAGGCAGATGATCCTCTGTGGTTACCTTTAAAGGGAACAGCTGAAAGAAGAAAAATTGACTAACTGCAGACTCAAAAATTGTTTTGAATGCATCTATCATGTATATTCAAAAGATTTTTCTGTAGGTTATTTTGTTGACCAGTGAATATTTAAATCTATTGCGTGTTATTTTCTTGTAATGCATGTCTCCATCTTCCACCAGCCTCTCCACGAGGTTTGGGACTGTGGCAGTGCCCAACATCCTGCTGTTCCAAGGGGCAAAACCAATGGCTCGTTTCAACCACACTGACAGAACGCTGGACACGCTCACATCTTTTCTTGTTAATCAGACAGGTACAAATGCAGGTTATGTGTTACATTATATAGAGCTTACTGGTTTGGGCTCAAAAGGGTCAGAATTGGGTGGTTGGAAGATCATTTTGAGTCATGTAAAATGAATCTGAACGACCACTCAAAAGATCCAACTCTGTGTGTTCCAGGTTTTGAAGCCAGCCCTGATAGAAATGTGACAGACGCAGACCGCCTCGGTCCCCTCCCTAGCGTTCCCGTGAAGAGCATCGACTGGCTGCTGGTCTTCTCCATCCTCTTCATCACAAGCTTCACTCTGTACGCCATCCTGCGGACCGACAGCATACGCTGGCTCATACCCGGACAAGAGCACGAGCATCAAGACTGAAACCTCACAGACTGTTCGTGAAGAATGATGTAAAGAATTGTTTGTTAAACAGTTTAGTTTATTAAAATGGCTAATGTGCTCATGTTTTAAGTGTTTGAGTGAAATAAAACATTTGAGCTCTTCCGATTTAGAATAAAGATTTGGATTAAAAGTAACATTTTGAGGCTGTGTGCGAGAAGACAAACTGTGCTGTCATTTTTTTTTTTTTTTTTGGTGCCTTTTAGTTGATGTTCAGCCGAGCACAAGTAAGTACAAAGTACAAAAAAACAAAATAGTTGACATGTCTGTACAAACACTGCTCCTCTCATGCAGGCACGCTTTGCTCCTCTTCTTCCTCCTGGCTCTACTGTGTTTTGTTGTCTTGCAGTCCCCTGATTCAGCTGCACTGAACAAACATGTAGGCTGCAGTGAGTGAAAGAGAGGAACATCCTGTGGAGATATTTTACAGCTGTAAATGAAAACATTGCAAACAGTGATGTGTGTAGGAAGGAAATTCTCTGTTGTGGCAGCAAAACGAGAAGAAAAAAAGAGAGGAATCAAGGAAGAGATCAAAGAATATTCCGTTAGCTTATACAGTGGTAAAAATAACGTTTCAATCATGGCATATATATTACTTAATTGAAGAGAAATTCATCATCATAGTTGTTACTTTAGCAGACTGATATATTTAGATATTTAACCTAATGAAACGTGTTCAGTAAGTAATTTTATTTGAAGTGAAAAAAACACCTCAAACATAAAATATCTGGCTATAGCAACTCTTTTGGGTTATTTTTATTTATATAAGCTATTTATATAAGCACATTTTAACAACAGAAATTGCATCCAAATCCAGTTTGAAAAACACATGAAGACGAGCGAGAAGTGACTTTTGTCATGTTAGATAATTAGCAGTGGAAAGCAAAAATCACATCATTTACTTGTCCTTAAAAAGCATTCACAAATCCATGGCTCTCGGCTATATTTGCAGTATCCTACCACTGCATCTCAATAGATAACCAGACTCCATTGGAAATATGCGTGATTTTAATCAGGCACTACGTTAAACAGCTATGGCAAAGTATGAGAGGGCAGTAGAGGAAGAAAAGAGGCATTGGTAGGGAGAGAGGACAGCTGACAGTTTACTGATAATGTTTAGGTTAATGTTTAGCCTGAGGACAGGCAGCCTTCTACACCTGCCGAGCAGCTTGAGGGCGCCTCCGTTCTGCAGCAACAACTCATCTAAAATGGTGAGTAATGCAGTGACAGGCTTTAGCATTAGCATTAAAAACAGAAGAAACACAAATTCCACGTGAGGAAAGTCTCTTTTTGAACACAGCTAAGTGTGTGGGTGCACTCCCACGTGACAAGCCAAGCACCGTTCCGACGTGTAACCGCCAAAGTATCCAGCTCGCGTCGTTCTATCACGCGAGAAACCGTACGCTGAACTCTCCCAGGAAAAATGTAAATAAAAACTTTAAGGCGTCCATTTACGTTAAGGCGCCAACGATTAAAGTGTGTAACAGTTTTATGAATTGCTCTGATGCTGTTCCTTAATTCGGCGTTAGTAGTTTTTTTTTTAGATTTCTCAGTTAATTTGGTCCCTTTGCTGTTTACGTTGGCATTTGGTTCATGTGCAATAGAAATGTGAGCGGGGCGAGGTTGGTATTCACATTATTGCGAAGTTGAGATTAACTGTATATTAAAAGTTAACTATCACATTTATTTATTATTTTAGCCTGTGAAATGCCTGCATTTTGTACGCTTCGTCAGGGCTTGGTTGAGACTTTTGGAGTAGGGCGGGGCTTGAGTGGAGTCCCGCCCAAATCCGTTATTTAAACCAATCAAGGTAGGTTCCTTATCCAGGTTACACCCAGGTAAGCCTGACCTGTGGTCCTGGAAAGGACGGCGTTAACGTTCATTTTTGGGTCTAGACCGCCACCTTTTGGACGAAGCGTAAATAGCAGTCAGAGAACTCCTAATACTAGACTAAGCATGTGTGTGTTGAATCAGCACTTTTCATTATAGTGCAAGAAAAAAAAAATACAAAAAACGTGATTTGTCCTTTATAATTACAGGGCTAAAGAGTTTAACCGTAATATGATTTTGTCCAGTCATCAGACTCACACTGGCTCTCCCCTGAAGACCGGGAGCAGCTATTGGTCGAGCTCAGGGCCACAGGCTGGATGGAGGTGGAGGACCGTGATGCCATCTTCAAAGAGCTTCACTTTAAAACCTTTAATCAGGTGTGTGTATTTATGTTAATATAGTAATTAGCTTTGTTGAAGTCTTAGATCTAATTTAGGATCTATGAGTTAGAATTTTATTTTTTTTATATTGCTGTTATTTTTTTCATCACTTCCTTTGATTTGAGTTTAGACCTAATTTAGATTATGTTTATGTAAGGCTAGCCATTCGTGATCAGGTGCAGTTAGGTGTATCTAACGTCTTCTACCCTTTCCCTGTCATGCATGTGTGCACTTTTTTCAAAATATGCATAGGTCCTATTCTTGATTTACCACGTATAGTTGAGTTGTGGCAGACTAGTCCACAAATTGCAGGGATGGCGATTCTATCACTGTCTTCTTCTGTCCACATTCCCTTGAGCAAAACCCTGAAACTGTAATTGCTTCCAAAGGACAGGCAGGCGCCCTTCTCTGCCACGATTAGTATGCATTTATGCGTGCAAAAGATTGAACGACAGGCAAAAATCAGCAGCTAATTCGACATCTAGGCACCATTGCATATGGCGATTGAAACTGAAGTGTCTGCTGTCATTAAATCAAGCGCAGGATGTAAGATGCTAAAGGTGTAATAAAAGAAAAGTGCCTCAAAATAACAGTTTTATATAAGTGCTGGGATCACAATATCAGACCACACCAGCCATGCCTGCACAGCTGGATGGTGTGTAAATGGTGTTTCTTTGAATTTGACATAAAGGGGGGGGGGGGAAAAGAAACATGCACATCTTTTCCTGTCTTAGTGGTCTTTTTTATTGCAGGTGGCCAGTAGAGTCTGTGATGAAGCAGTCATTTTTCCAGTTTCTGTAGCCGTGAAAATCTGTTCACCTATAGGAGGGTTGTTGCACGCTGCCAGATGCATGCCCAAAGTGTCGATTGGAAACTCATAATTTCAGCTGTGATTCTGGTAGCATACTGAGCATAAAATTGTGATATTGAAATCAGTAGTCAGACATGTCTCCACAGGTTATAACTGTGTCAAGTTTCAGCATTTTTAGTAAGATGAAGTACTTATGAATGACCTAAGACACCAAATGTGCAGGATAATAACATCTAGGGCTTGGTATTGTTTAAAAACAATACTGTGATTAGCGTTCTTCGTGTCAGTGTCATCGTGTCATCAATGAACTATTGTTTGGTTGTTATGCAATATCTCTGACTTGGTTTACGTGAGACTGAATTATAGACATTTTGTGGTTCAAGAAAAAACATGAAGTTGCAGGAAAAAGTTAGTGATTTAAATAATATTACGACCCCAGCCTGGGGTAACCTGGATGTAACATGAGGTGCAGCTACCCACACCAACCACACAGAAGAAAAGGCCAGAAACAAACAAAAGACAAATCTCCAACCTAAACTCATAACCAATAAACAAGACAAAAATGGTTCAACAAAAAAGTTTTCTTACTCCTGCTACTGCTGCAGTGCTCAATATATACAGTGTAATAGTCAAAATTATCTATTTACAAAACTATTTATGAACAAACTGGTTTGTAGCTGCAATAATACAAAGCACACTGCTCGGTCCATTCTACTCACTAACAGACATTCAGATTAGATTCCTCATAGTTAGCAAGTATATATTTTTCAAAAAATGTATTTAAATTAAAACCCTTTTCCCTGCAATTATATTGTGGTTTCGCGCCATATTCTCTGCTTTTTCGTTTTCTCAACAAAAACTACAATTTTAAATAGAAGCAGTGCCTGTGTTCTTATAATTCCACCAAACTTGCCAAACGTCTCAGTGCATCTGTGTTTAATATTTACTGAAAAAGGGAAGATGAAGAAAACCTTGCCTTAAAAACTGTTATGATTCCCATTGGGGAATATTATTCAAAGAATAACTAAAACGGACCATGAATCCAAACAAGCCCTGAATGCCAGATTGTTACTTTAGTCTAGAGACACTTTGAGGCAGTCCTCAGGACATTCAATGACACCAGGATAATTTAATTGCACATGTTGCAAAGGTCTGTTCTTTATATAATTTGTGCCACTATCCATAAAAACCAGCATGCATCCTTTGAATATCTATCACAAAGTGTTTAAATTTTAAGTGCTTCTAAAGACACACAAGAACACAGTGCAAGGATACTTTGGGATGCTAATCAGAGTCAACAGTAAAGTATGGTAATATTTGAGTAGGGCGAATATGCCGGGCGGCAGAGTAATCCTTTATTTATCCAGATAAAAGTATCATTAAGATACCCGACCATGAGGGCATCTGAAGTTACACCAAATACAATGCATAACAATATAATGCATAAAGAAACAAATACACCTAATATTCCATACAGACAAGTGAACCCGATCATGTGAACCATGTGCAATAACAGGATGGCGGTTAGCACTGTTGCCTCACAGTAAGAAGGTCTGGGTTCAAATCCAGCTTGGTCTCTTACTGTTTGCATTTCGCATTCTCTCCTCGTGTCTGTCTGCATGGGTTGTCTCTGGGAAATTCCTGCTTCCTCCCACAGTCCAAAGACATGCATGGGGTTAGATTAACTGGTGTTTCTAACTAAAATTACTTTAGGTGTATAAGTGGGCATGACAGACTGAGACCCTGAATTGGATAAGTGGAAGAAAATGGATGGATGGAAAAATATGCAGGTACTGTATGAGGTACTTAGATGAAATGGACAGGTGCACATTGGTGGTACAGTTTAGCTCTGAATTTTCAGGATTGCACTGAAAGTAAGTGTTTCATTTAAAATGAATTATGGCAATTTATCAGAAAGTTATTTATAATATTGGGCAAGTTACTGGTTGGTGACTGTGTCTACTGTAACATAGTTCCTGAGAGCTGCCTGGCAGCTGAAACTAGTTCTCTTGCTTCCTGGGGTAAAACAAACATTAAATATTCTTTTCAAAAGTTTTTTGGCACGTCTTGTAAGCAGCTGCTCCGTTCGCTCACTCTGTGCGGGGCGAAGTAAACTGCAGCATCTCAAGGCCACTTAGCGGACTTCCTCTAATCCCATCGTTAGTTGTTTTAGTCCCTAAAATAGTCTGTTTTTACACTTCCCCATGTTTGAAGTCGGAGGGTGAGCGCTGACCTCCCCCATCTACTCCTCCTGGCTCTAAAGCCTCTCCTCTTACCCCGACACGTCAGGCTGCATTACTCTGAGACTCGCCAGGAGGCCAGTTGGCAGCAATTAGGGTTTTGATCAGAATGATTTCTTTCACAAACAATCAAATTGGTTAAAATGTTTCATCTGGTTCACAAACCACTAACAACCCCATCATTCCTTCTGCTGTGCATCGCTTTCTCTCTTCTTTTTCTCTTCTTCTTTTTTTAAAATTCTTACTTGTTGCCACCCTCCTTTCCCCTATCTCTGCCTTTGTCTCAGTCTTTGTCTCAGTCTTTGTCTGTCTCTCATTCCCATTCTGTGCCCCATGTTATTGGGGGAATGAGCTCATGTTGTTCCAATTTTACATGCTGGCAGCTCGCTCTGTCTGTCTGTCTCTCTATCCTTCTTTTTCACCCTCTTTTATTCTCTCCAGACACCACTCAAACTCTCTGATGCATTTTCACAAACTCTCCAGCTCGTTTTTCATGGCTGCTCTTAAAGGGCTTTTACCGAAGGGGAATGGAGATGAGGAGCGACATGCTGGCTGATTTCCATTCGCCACTTATCTCCAAGTGATGGGCTTGAGGAAATCAGATCCCCAAGAGTTTATAATGAGAATAACAAATCCCCTTCCTGTGTATCGAAACACTTCCTCTCCTGATCTCTAGGGGGCGGTAGAACCGTACTCATGCATTGAAGTGAGTACAGCAAGTTGAGGTTGAGCGAATTCATGAGATGCTCAAGAGCTGCAAATGAATTTAAAGGAAACATGGCAGCTGGATTTGCTTCTTTGAGTTTATTTTTCTTTGATTACAGCAAGTGGAAAGTGTTATGATGCCTTTATAAATGGCTCAGGAGTTTAGCTGCGGCGTGTGGGTATACAGTGTGATGTTTGTGGCATTAGTCTGAGGAGTAACTGTGAGTTATTTTTCCTGTCAAGTCCAGTCTGTTTAATGTGCTTTGAGAGGTGAAATCCTCTTTCTGGAGTCGCTTTGGTCAGTGGGAGTTATTGCAATCACATATAGACGTACGTGTGTGTGTGTGTGTGTGTGTGTGTGTTTAATACTGTAAATCTGGGCTGGAATTGAGCGTGTTCTAAGTTGCGGTCGCTGATATTGTTTACACATCAAGCTTTATGTTATGTATGTTTACAGATGACCATCTGCTATACATTTCGGTTGATGAAGTGGAAACTTTCATGCGACACAAGTGAAACGGGTAGCTTTCGGGTGCAGCTTGTATAAGAGAGGGTGAGCTGTGCATGCTCAACTGTTGTGTTGTGTTAGCTGAGGTTGACATCGATGGCATTCCTCCTTCTCCCACAAATATTCAGTCAAGCAGCCCTGGGGAAAAAAAAATCACTCAAAAGCTACATTTAGGATGGAGGGGAAAAATGGCCGGTTATTATCTTCAGTCTTTCTTGTAAAGTAAACAAGGGCAGTCTTAACCTAAGGAGGGAAATTTTTAATGGTTAAATATCTGCATCCATAGCATGCTCCACTGTTTTTATTAGAGGGATTAAAAAGCAAAGGGGTATGTGCACCAGTGAAGAGGTTATTAAATTCATCAGTGATAGTATTGTTGGCAATTAATGTTATTTTTGGACAATTTTCAATCGTTTTGAAGTTTTCATTCATAAATGATTTAAAAAATAAAAGTATTTATTTTTCATTTATTTAAACAGGTAATCCCATCAGAGATTGAATGTCTCATTTACAAGAGAGACCTGTTTCAGACGAGCATAATAAAATTACAACAGTTAAATAGAAACAGTAAAATAGTAAAAAATTGCTCAATGTTTACGCAATAATATTATAAATCTGGTTCATTTCTGTTTTCCACACAAAACATTGCCTTGAATGTTCATTTTAATTGTGCAACATGTTTGTTTGTAATTGTGCAATTACTGTACAATTCACAAAACATCAAGGGATTGGT